TAACTCACTAAATAAGTTTGAGAGCTGTTCCAAAAAGATACAGAATACTCCATGAGGTGCGGAGGTATTCGAGCAGGGCCTGTGGCTTCTGGAATGTCAGAGGGTAGGAGTCACCTGCAGTGTTGTTTATGATCTGTGTCTTGAGTGAGCAATGAAATGGGCCTGAGCTTTTCAGAATCACGTGCTTTAGAAAAATAAATGACAGTATTTAATCCAAAGCCACCTGTTTTCAATTCTCAGCAGTCTAGAGACCTGACAACACTTTCTGGAACCTAAGTTGTGGTCTGACAWGGCCCATGGCTTATCCCCCACCCTTGGCTTCCTTTGGTCTTAAAAAGTYACATTTATGTCTCTCCCCAGTCTAGCAACAAGGCTCACAGTCAGGATCAGTGMACTGCCAGTGTCGGTAACAGTGATGGTGTGAGCTTCATTCAGCTGCTTCGTTGAAAGAACCCCAAATTCAAGATCTCTGCTGTCCCTGGAGGTTTTTGTTCCTGAGATTCTGACCATCCACCTGGAGTCGGCCTTCAAGATTGCTGCAGGCTGTGACTGGGTCTTGGGTCTTTTAAGAGCTCACAGTTAAGGCTGAAGAATAATAAAAGCCTCCCTCTAGTGGCTCAAGCTCAAACTCTTTCTTGCCCTGTAAAGGACCCAGAGGGAGTATGCAGGAGCCATTTCAAAAAAGGATTGAAATTCCAGGGCTCTCCTGGTCGATCCCACACTAGGAGCCCRGCACACAGTACGCCTCCCAGCTGTGGCTGTGCCAAGAGCTTCAGCCACTGCCAGTGCAAACTAGCCCCTGAGAGCATGTGACCACCACCTGGTCCCCGCCCTCCCAGGCCCGGCCTGCCTCCAGCCCTGGAGTGTTTCTCTCATAGAGYTGCTATTTGATGGGGGAATGAACTACCTGGATTTCCTTAAATCCTGAGCTTTGAGTTCTCCTCCCTCTCCCACCTACTTGGCATCTTAGGCTTCTTGTAGAAGGGGGTGGGGGAATCTTTACAGTTGATGACATTTGTCCCAGTGTCACCTTTTGGTTACTCAAATGAGTTGAGGCTGTTATTAGTTAGAACTTAACATTTGTAGACTCCCACCCCAGGCTGGGGGCCACCACCTTTCTCCTAGTGAAGTTTTTGTGAAATTCAAGATGTAGAATTCCATCTCTGGTGGATATACGTAATGTTATTACCCGTGAAAGGTGTGGCGATTGGGGCTATGAGGAAGATCCCCAACCAACAGGGAAAAGGGAGACTCTCATACCAGAGAGCAACAGCCACTGTCTTTCTTTTCTTCAGACAATTCCACTGCAGATTAAAAGGTATCCCCAGTTCCTTGGTACCTAACTGCCTGAGGAGCCACAACCTTTTGGCAAAGTGTGGCTTATCCACAAAGCTGTGCCACTCCACTTTGTATATGTGAGCCAGCACTTTCTCTGAACTGTCATCACCCTGGCTTGATCCTCCTCATTATATAGAAGAGATGCTTTTAATAAGAGTGTTTATTCATTTCAGTATACCGTCAGCCCGCTGTCTCTCTGGGTTCTGCATTGGTGGATTTAACCAACTCCCAATGGAAAAGTCTACATTGAACACATACAGACTTTTTTCTTGTCAGAGTTCCCTAAATGATAGAGCGTATCAACTATATTACAGCATTTACATTGTTTTATTATAAGCAATCTAGAGGGAAAGCATCCAAAGGGAAAATGTGGATATGTTGTAGGCAGATGCTATTACATTGTATATAAGGAACTTGAGCACCTATGGATTTTGGTGTTTGTGGWGAGTTCTAAAACCAATCTGCCGTGTATTCCAAGGGATGGCTGTATAATGTACTCAGATGGAAGCCCCTTGGACTTGTGACATAAAGATTTCTTTGCCTTGCATGGCGGTGCACACCTGTAATTCCAGCAGCCCAGGAGGCTAAGGCAGAAGGATTGTGTGTTCCAAATCAGCCTCAGTAACTTAGCAAGACCCGGTCTCAAAATAAAACAAAATAAAAAGGGCTGGGGATGTGGCTCAGTGTTGAAGCGCCCCTGGGTTCAAGTCCTGGCACCAAATAAATAAACAAACMAACCTTAGAATACAAGAACAAAATAAGGTGAGGTTAACAAAACTTATGGTGCCCAGTAGCCTAAATAGTATTTCTTCTTACCTTTGGTCACAGTCATGTGAAAGGGCACTCACATGTGTAGCTGAAATGCAAATGAGACCAACTAAACCACTTAGATTCCTGTAGCCCTGATTGTCTCAGAGGCCAGGCTTCTCGCCTACTCTGACATCACTCTCTGAAGCACTGGTTAGCATCAGGAGTATGCGCTGTCTGTTCTGGAAAAAGTATCAAGTWCCAGGATTTTCTTGACCCAGTCAAGTGAAGAATTGTAACTCCCCCTTAGCTGGTTCACATCGTACACCAARGGCCCTGGACGGGAGGCATGTAGAAGTGGAGGGGAGTGGATCTTTTTCTTTTACCACCATGACAGCGCCGTGACAGCAGAAAATCTATTACTGTACAACATTAAAACATTTAATGCACTTTGGGGAGGAGTCAATTTCCTGGATTAAGTACTTCCCATATAACATGTCAGTGAGGGAAAGGAAGTTCTCCCTCTTCCAAGTCCCCAGTGAATGATGCAAGGGACCTCCTACTGGGAAGAGCCAAACCCGGTGACTTTACAGGAAGTCATGGTCACAAAGGCCTGGGTGAGATCATTCTCTCTTCCTTACCCATGTGCTGGCTTCCACAGGTGGGAGACTATTATTCTGTCCATTTACGCAGTGAAACTGTCAAAGGGTAGCAGTAAGGAAAGGAGGAAGAAAGGGGATCTGATTTCTTGTTCTTTAAAGACATATTAAATAGATCAAATCCCAGCGGCTCAGGAGGCTGAGGCAGAAGCATCAAGCCTCAGCAACCTAGGGAGGCCCTAAGCAAGTCAGTGAGATCCTGTCTCAAAATAAAATACAAAAAAGTGCTGGGGATGTGGCTCAGTGGTTAAGTGCTCCTGGGTTCAATCCCTAGTACAAAAAAATCAAAAAGAACAACCTCCCCCCTCCAAAAAAAAAAAAAATCCCAACAGATCAGCAGGTCTCCGGCTGTAGCTCAGTGATGGAGGGCTTACYGGTAATAGTGTGCTCAAACTCTGGGTTTGATCACTACCACAGCCAACAAAACAAAAYGGACATCAAAAACAGTCTGAGTGGCATATTTCAGACTGGACTTTTGCTGAGATGTGGTGCGCTGATGGTTCATGTGTTTGGTCACTACATGGATTTAAATCTACTGAGCCTGAAGGAGATCAGAAGTGAAATGAAACTCTGATAAACATTTAATCTTCTTGGAAAAAAAAATTGACAGGAATAATAAAGTTTCAGATGTTTTTTATTCAAAGGTTCTCAAAAGAAATAAAACAGAAAAAGCTAACAATCTGATCAAATGTACAGTTCAAAAATGTCTTTTGGCGTTTAACAACAAGTCCTAGGAAAGAAAACTACAGAGTTATCTTGAACCGGACAAATAAGTTACCACTGGCAAGTTTGTGGCACTAGTAAAACAAAAATAAAAAATTAACTCTCTTGATCATATAGATATCTCTATGAAAATCTTTTTTTTTTCAATCTGTACAAAAGGTCTTTCTTCATAAATTAATTTTTTATAATTTAATGGCTGTCTACTATGTGATGTTTAACTGATTTTTTTTTTATTTTTATTTTTTTTATGTACAGAGGTTATGTTTCCCAAATCTTACCCAGACGAGTATGGCACTTAGTTCAGACATTTCTAGCAGCAGATTTCCCCTCCCCTCTAACTGAGCTATCAAATTTCTGTCTTAACTAATGCAAAAATATCAAGTAGTGAGAGACCCAGGTTTATAAATGTACTAGGTACACGGAGGGTGCTGCGTTCAGTCTGGACTTTCACAAAGCAGTAATATTCCAGGGAGCGTAGAACCAATAATACCACAACTTTAAAAAAAAGGAAACAAAAACAAAACAAACACATTTCTCTTATGACTATGTAATTTTCACTAGAATCTACACTTCTCAGAGCAGCAAGGATTTTTGAAACTATGAAATGTCACTGACATCTATAATCAAATACAAGCAATAAAATTTAAGAACTAAAAAATACTCAAAAGAAATAACTGCTTAGGCCTAGCTCCTGAGCTAGGAGGATTTGGTCTGTGGAAACAGGGAGGGCCAGCAACCTGTCCCAGCACAAAARAAAATAGACTCTGAGGTAGATAACTGATCATACACAGCTGACCAGACAAGTACACAGTTTTGGAAGACAACTTAATTTACCATTGCTTTGAAAACATATGCAATTGCCTTAATAAAAGAGCTTTAATAACAGTGAATCATCTCATATGTACTAAAGTAGAAATAACTGTGTATTTATGAATCAGGAATTTCATAGTTTCAAAATTGGTTTTCTTTACACTTGAACACTTGTAGTGATGATGTAAAGTGTGGCACTGCTTGGATCCAAATCTTCCTTCATGCTTTTTTTTTGTTTGTTTGTGTGTGTCCATACATCAATTAAAATTATAAAACCTAAATTCAAAGGTACAAAAAAGGCACATTCTCCTAACCGCAAACTGGTCCGGCAAAAATAAAGAGCACAGAAGATGTGATGCTGAGACAAGTTGGAGCTACTGGTTACTGGCTCTTCGGTCTTTGGTGAAGTTACCTTTAAAAGTGCCAAGTCATTTTTATTTTTCAAATTTACCTAATAGAGAGAGAGAGAGAGAGAGAGCTAGTAGCCAATCGTTTCGCTTCTATTCATATCTCAGCTTATGTTTGAAGAGAAATCCTTACTTTTAGCTTTTGCCATTTAGTTGCAATAGCAACATATTTTTTTTTTGTTTTTTTTGTTTTTTTTTTTTTTTCGGTTTGCCAGATCGCAGGCATAATTCTCATTCTAAAGCACTATCATTAGTATAAAGGAAGGACAAAACATTCGGTGACTCCCCTCCCCCGCCCCCCTCCCCCAGCCCCAACGCTACCTAACACTAAATCTAGAACATCAAGTTAGTTTTTTTTTTTCTTCCTGAAAAAAGGCAAAAAAGACTTTACATTGCATCATACAGCAGATATCCTAAATCGGTCAAACTATCAGAGGAAACTGTCGGCATACAGCCTTACAAATGCTTTAACCCTATTAAAAGTTCCCCAGTCAGAAAATGTGTTTCACACAAAACAGTTTTTCCCTTCTTGCATTTCACTACCTTACACATTATGTGAAAAATCATTAAAAACACCTACTACATATTTAAAAAAGCCAAAATTTCAGCAACTTTTATTGACTACCTTTTAAAAGCCCTATGCTGCTGTTTTACAAGGCATAATAGACCAGCTCATTTGGTCAAAGCATTCTACATCATTAGTTTGAACTAACTTTTACTGAAACAGCTACAGCATCAAAAGAGTTAAGGCAAATTGGAATTCATAGAAAAGGATAAGACACTTCACACTACGTTGAAAGAAAAACAGAAAGCTAAGGAAAGAGACKTGACGGCAACACTGAGTTACAGCAACACTCGCACGGCAAGCATGGAACACCATGGGTGAAGTCGGACTAGTTAAACTTCAGAAAGCCCATTTCATACAGCTGAAAAAAACACAAATTAAACACAAAATGAACAAAACCACAAAAATCCGGTCATGCACTTGGATAAGTCTTCATGGTCTTTGTGCATACCCAGAAAATTGAAGTTTTCTTTTTTTTTTCTTTTTTCTTTTTTTGCATCATAACATTTAATAAAAATCTTTTTTTTGTTGTTTTTTTTTTTTGGTTTTTTTTTGTTTTGTTTTTTACTAAAATAAACCTGTTCAGGGGAACAGCTACTAGATGAATTTAAGGGTTTTATGCACCTTATAGAACTTATAGCAAAAATAGTTTTAGTTGATTTCATTATAAATAACGTTTTCAAGAACCTGTGCAAAACTGTCAATAATTTCCTAAAGCACAATTGATCAGAAAAATCCATGATTGTTCAGCCTTCACACCCTTCTTCATGTAAGAACACCCTTCTGTACATCTGCAAGAGAAAGATAAAAGACAAGTACTTTTGTGGTCTCGATATAATACACCATAGAGCTTATAATCTTATTTAAAGAGAGATATATTTGAAAAACGCTGTGCTCATCACTGATGTTTCACGGAGAGATGCAAACTCTGGACCTGATGGTCACTTTCAGTGTTTTGAATCTGCCTTTCAAATATGGGACTTGCAAAGTACTTTCCTCTCTAAGGGAATCAGAGCCAAACTCATGTGGGTCTCCAAAGAACAAGGACGTCTTTATAAAACAAACAATACATATTGTCAGTAGGGCAATCCAGAAACCAGGTTCCATATAGCTATTTTACTATAATATACATGGTAAAGTAAAAAAAAAAATGGTACTTGTGGGAATACAATCTTTTAATCTAAGGATACTGACACTAGCAATATCTTGGCTATGAGTTTTGACTAATCTTGTAATGCTTGATAAAGCAACATCTTATGCTAAATTGCCTTTAGTTTTGAGTACTTGAGAATACAGTATAGGATACTGATATAATAAGTTTGATACATGATGTTCTATGATGTTACAGATCTTACTTTTTTTTGAGGGTTCGAGGAATGTGTGTATATGTGTTTGATTTCAATATAAAGTGTTATTCTTTTTGCACAGAACAGTGAATCTGCAAACTAACAAAATCATTGATTTTAACATTTTAACAAGATTGGATGCCCTGGCTATAATGAAATCAAGTATGATCGATCTGAGTTATTCTAAGCATCATTTTGATAAGGGAACCACAGACTGCCTGATTGGCGCCTTGGTAATGGAGACCTTTCTCTCATACCTCACAGTTACTTATTGGGTTGAAAGGAATATGGAGAATGGTCATTAGACGTCTCTACAGCCACCTGCTGCTGACCACTCGCCTCCTACAACAAAGCAGAGCAGATGAAATGTGTTAGTGATAAAATCCTAACTCTGYTACTTGGGTCTAAGTCAAAGGCATACACCTGAAAATAAGCAGTTTTTAAAGTGAATTTCTTAATATTACGCAGAGCTTTTTAGGTTAATCATTCCCTCAAGTAGCTGAAATGTCTGATAGACACTAAGCACCTCCCATCCAAATCTTTGACTTGTCTATTCTGATCAAGCTACATTTATCAAACAAATTTCTTAATCTGTTTTTCCCTGGGGTCAGATGTGATTTAGAATTCAGCATTTTAAAGGTTCAGAATCTGAGACATGGGATGAAATATGCTGTATATCATATAATACCCTCAAGTAGGGCTTAGGGATGTTTCTCATAATCAAACATATCAGTAATTCTATACAGAACCAAGTGCATAAACACAGTAACTGGGACAAATGTATCTTGTCTCAGTTCAAGTTGGGWTTTTTGAAAGGTCAGAATTTTTGCTAAGAAGTTAGTCACAAAGAGAATTTTTATTTTCAAAGTTTTTGGAGGGTTTCAAAATTGCTGATAAGGAATTGTGRGCTCAGATAACTGTGGTTCCCATAATCGCACAATGAAAGGCAAATAATAAGAGACATGGTTCTTTGGCCCTTCTTGGAAATGGGAGCCTTTGGGTTCTGCCCAATGCCTACTGGGAAAGAGCAAGTGAGCTGAGTATTTTCCTTGGAATTYTAAGGATCTTCTGTAGGAAAATGCTGTTTCCTGTCCAATCATAATCAGATGCCAGACTTCTTCCATACCAGCTCTAGTGACAAGAACTAAGAGTTATTTAGCTACACTAACAGCCTCTATAAAAATAGGTATGGCTTCTCTCCCACGTCTGCTACATCAGCTTTCCTTTTTCATTAACTATCTGAATCGTGACTGATTTCTTTTTGTGAGTATCACCATTGATACAATTTTTAGGACTAGGATTACAAACTCCAATTTTATCTCAATTTAGGGGTGACAAGACAGAGCTCTGGAGGGGTGAAAAAGGTGCTACAAGCTTGGAAAATATTTCTAGGAGTTCTTGGGAATATGGCCTGGATGTTGTTATTCTAATTTGTAACAATTATATTTTATAGTCTCAAATAACATATTCCCTCTAAAGTCAATCCTTTTATGCAAATATTTGACTTTTGATAGATTTTGCTTTCAGTTCTACTTAATTCACCCAATTTTTGAAACTACCCATTGCCAGAATGGCCATTTAATACTCTGCACCAACCTCGACAGGAACCGCMGTCGTCTGCATGTGTGTATACTGTGGCAAGTAGGCTCCTTGCATAGCTGACGTTGCAGGCATGTACTGAAAAGAAGGAGGAGGTCAGGATGGACACTGGAGAAACCACGCAAAATGGGGAGTACTCAGGGAATTTTGAGCTGGATATAAAATATATGGAGTTCTCCAAGAAGAAATTTAAATACGCTACACTCAAAGGTTTATTAGTCCATGTAAATATGTCATATGGAAGGCAAAGTCATTATTTTCTACATTTTGAATTTGTCAAACTATAAATTCCATGTTGTCTTTGGATTTCCTAACAAAGAAACACACAGGTGAAGATCATTAAAGTCTGTCATCTTCAATAATTCAATATCACTAATGCATCATTCTAGATGATCTTTTCTCAGAAGACCTTGTTATCATCTAGCAGCTCCCTGAGTTGTTACCTAGTACTGTTTCTACAGGTGGAGACCTAAATGTGGATGACTTATTGGACCTTTCACTGAAGATTAGGCTAGGGAATCCTGATTTCCTGATGCTGAAGTCACTCTTAAAGGCAGGAGGAATTTCTGGTCCATCTCAGGCTGTGTATGGCTCTGGCTTAGTCTGCACAAGAAGTTGCTGCTRGTTTTGAGTGTAAAAGGGGAAAATGTACCACCCTTTGTTCTTTTGAGCCACTATAGATACAGGCTGCATCAAACTCCTGAGGGCATCTCTTACAATTTAAACTATAAACAAACCAACATGGATCTAGTACCAGGTCAACCTCATTACCCCACCAAGTCCCCTGGACTCTAGTGAAATAAGTCACGAAGATCATGATTTAGTGCTCTCAAATTCTAAAACAGAAGGAATAGGTGAGGGAATATTTCCTATTTTTGCTACCATGTGTCACCTTCATCCTTTGCTGCATGAAATGGTACTTCATGATATACCAGTGACATTAGCTGAAGAAGCTAGATGTGGCCATGTGTGGGTGCTAAATTTTGGCAAAGGGGAAACCTAGAGAACAGACTTTCAGTTTTTCACTTAATCAAGAAATTGAGTTTTTTCTTTTTGGAAGGCAATGTGGGATGGGGCTGGGGCCAGGCATAATAACTGTCATCATAGAACCTGTGATTCTATAGGGTAGGCACAGGGGTGCRTTAATTTACCCTCCTCTATTTGCAGAGACATATGATATTAATTTGCCACCTACTGTTCCGGTGCTGCCTAGTGAAAGATGACTCATCTGCTGGGCCAGAGGGCTGATCATAGATGCAGGCTGTAGTGACATGGTATGCTCCATTGAGGGAGTTAACACGGCACCCTGTGGATGGGAGACAGAAGCAACAAAGGATAAACTGAGAGGAGTTAAGATTCTATAATTACCTTTTGCAAAGGAAATCCCTTTGTGAGTAATGTGAAGCAAAAATAACATCTTTCAGACTGGCAAGGGGTATCAATAATAAATAAGGTTCAAAAGTCTTAATAGTTTGCTTTTCCTGAGACTTGGTAAGAGTGTTAGGGGAAATGGTATTTTGATATTCACTTCACAAAAATTCCTGCATTAAACACTACCCTCACTTAACTGGGAAGCTGCTTAGTCCAGCAGGAGGAGCTATAATAGCAAACACAAATTACAGACTCTCCTTGGCTGGCAAAAGTATAAAATGCTTAAAAAAGACAGGTGATGTTTTCTGTAGCTGCAAAAGAATAGGACCAATAATAGTGATCTGTTTAAAAATGTTCTATACAGAGAGCCCTTTGTTTCAAGATTAAGTTGTTGGGATCAAGAGCATTCTTCACTCACTCAGTGGTTCTCAGAACTTTTTGTGATTCTGGTGCCAAAAGGGAACATTAACCAACCAATTCCAAGTTCTTCCATTTCATTTAAAAAATATTGGTCATTAAAAATCAAATTTTTTAAAAAAATTTTGGGGTACTGGAGATTGGACCTAGGGATGCTTTACCACTGAACTAAATCCCTGGCCCTTTTTATTTAAGATAGGATCTCACTAAGTTGTTGAGGCTGGTATGCAACTTGCAATCCTCCAGCCTCAGCCTTCTGAGCTGCTGGAATTACAGGTGTGTGCCACTGCTCTGGGCTAAATTAAATATATTTAAAAAAACAGGGAAGAAAAAAAATCACCTATAATCCAGCCTCTCCCATAACAAGCACAATKTGCCCCTTCCTGCCTCTGCATATTTCTCCATAGTTGCAATCAAAGAACATGAAGAATTTCATATCTTGGGTTTTTACTTTTAACTTAGCATTGCACTATAAAAATTAACAGATTGCACAGTTGTCACTGTCATCATTTTTAATGCTTGGATCATGGTCCACTGACCGTCCACACCAAAATTAACTATTTTTGGACTTTAATTGTCCATTTTTTTCTATAAACTGGATTTTATCATTCCTCTTTTCAGTTGGCCAATTACCTGATGGTGCAAGTATTCTAACATACTCCACAAGTACTAGTGTACATTCTGGCTTCATTGTAACTGATATCCTTTAAATAAGTTATTTGTTTTGCTGATAATCTAATTATTGATAATTAGATGCACAGTTGTGGGCAGAGGTATGTGYGCAGGCAGGCAGTTTGGATCTGGGTGGGAAAAGGTAATGAATTCTCAGCAACGTTCTATATACGTTCTTCATGTMTCCTGAAAGATGATAAACTAAAATATGTGCAATCTTTGTCTCTAAAAGTTGTCAAAGGGGGAAAAAAGACACATTCTACTTCTAATGTGCATTATCAAAAGCACAGAGTAAGATGAACATGACTCAAAAGTCCAGAAAATGGGGAAGGAGTTTCCTGATCTTTTTGCTCATGTACACATAATACACATCACAAATCCACACATGGCCATGAATATGTGCATGTATGTGTCCCRGTATGAAATATGTGTATATACCACATAATTCATGTACATTCATAAGCACCAAAGATATCTTTTCCTGTGATATAATATCAACCTGTTTTATTAGCTTCCTAAAGGTCATCTCAAGCATTTCTTGTTCAAAACTAGTTATGCCTAGATTGCTATTTCATACATACAGTCATATAGTGCAGTGCCCACTTTAGGAGAGGTATTCTGGGACGAATTTCCATCTCATCTTAAGACSAAAAGCAAAGTTCTCTTCCTAAGCAACAGATCTATGTTTATCTTAACAAACTCTGTAAACTGATTATCAGGATCCCCATTCTGCACTTGTCACCAGAAAGCTGAGGTCCAAATCTATGGCTTTCTTAACAGCAAGAATGCAGGTCAGTGTAGGCATCTTAGCTTTGTGATTTCATTCTGAAGAGTAGCTCATTTAGAAAAAGTAGTACTAGATACACATTAGATCAACAGGTGCTCAAGTCACCAAAGAAATCACATTTGTTATTTATCAAAGAGTGCATTATACTACACGGTTCCTGATTTCCAAAGAGGCTAATAACACAGATGAAAATCTCTATCTTTACTTTAGGGTTGCATTAAACAGAGTGAAAACATGAGTGCGGTTTCATCAAGTATTGTAAAACATTGTCACTCAGATCTCCCCCCGAACTGATGTGAGCAAGAAATAGGTGTCCTGCCTGCAACAGAGTATGTTTTAAATTCTTATGAACAAATTTATTTAATGCTTACTACTGATTCATTTTAACTTGTGCACTTCCATATTCCATGCTTAAAATTTCCCAAGTCCCTTATCACCTTTGGCAAGGGGTTTTAACCTGAAGAGTACACACATGGCTGGCTTGCAGGCAGAACATTAGGCCACTGAGGTGAACAACTTACGGGGTGCTGCAGGATATATGGTTGAGGTTGCATCCAAGAAGGACTTTGCACCTAGAAAAGGGAGAATTTTAAAGAAACAATGATTTCCATTGTAATAATTGCCTAGTTCTCTTTTAATTGTGTTAAAAATCTACAGAAGGAAAATAAGGAAACAATACTATCAATGAGTAAAAAGATTAAGGCAGTTAGCGTTCTTGGCAAACTGGTCACTCTGAATGGGATGAAATAATTATTAGAACCAATTTCTATTGGCCCACTCAAGAAGTATTTGCTGAGTATCAGGCAACAAAGAGAAAAAGGTGAATAAGACATGGGGCCCACCCTCCATAAATTTACTGTCTAAAGCAGAGAAGATAAGTATGTAAACGTCTCAAATTAGTGAAAAGTGTTACAATCAAGGTATGAACTAGGTGCTTTAGGATATGGATGAAAGAGGATTAATTCTAGAGCATCTGATTAGAAACTAACCCTCAAAGTATGGGCTGACTTAATAAAAATAACCAAATTCAATCTCTCTTTGATACTCAGGACATTAGGTTTCAAAAATCTTACATAGTAGTTAATAATTTCTACTTAGTGAAGAAAATAAATATCTGAAATTCAGATTGAGGAAATTAAACTTTAGTAACTATATCTGACATCTACAGTTAAAAGGGCATCCACACAGAAAGAAGACCCTCTGAACTGAGAAATAAGATGTGAGGGTCAGGCATGTGGCAGGAATTCTGGCTTGTGTAGTCTGCCACTCGGGAGAGGGATAACATCAGTCCCTTTTTGATGCCCAGGGCTTTCCAGAGTCTATGTAGTTTAAAAATGTTTCAGTTTCCAATTCTTAACACAACCCTCTTGTATCCTGTCCCCTAGTGTTAACTTCAGAGATTCTACAGAGAGAATATGGGGAAGAGTCATGGGGGAAGAATGCATTGTGATTTACCTTGATAGCAGAGCCCCGATACTTGTTTTCTCTGGTTTCCTTTGCCACCTAAGGCAGACCAAAGTTAAGTGCTTCTGCCTTGTTAACATTTCAGTTATCTGGACTGCAGCCTTTCCCCTGTTGGGGTACTGGTGGTTTCTTGCAGATGCTAATTTCTCAAATCCAACTACATAAGCCTATGGTGGTTTAGTAGAGAAAGGCCCACTCCAACACGAGTGGTGGGCCCTCCCTGGATAAATCACAGGGAGGCAAGCAGTTCCCTGTACACCCCAATGTGGGCCAAATGCACTCAGTTTTGATATGCTTCGGTCTTCATAATCTAGTCACGTACAGCATTATGAGGTTAAGGGCTGTGACTCCTAATCCAATTTTCTCTCTTAAGCAGCAAGCCAGCTATGGTCGATTTCTATTCCTCAATGTTCCCTAATTAGAAAATGGGAATAATAACCTATGCTTTTTAAACTCTTTGCCACTGGTTCTTAACCATCTTGGGGTCACAGATCCCCTTGAAAACCTAATAAAGAAAGAGACTGCCCCCACCCCCACTAATTGCACACACACAAGCGACATTCTGCAGCACAGGTCACTTAAAGCTCATTCACTGGCCCTACCTGGTCCCTGAACGTATGGGGTTAAGAATCCGTCTGAGATGTTATGGCACTGAGTGTCAGGCAAAGGGAATGGAATTCCACAGGTATCTTAGTATACAGAATGCCCAGGAGAGGAAATCAGGCCTTTGAAATGATAACGTTGTTTCCAGTTAGCTATATCAAATTTATTACCAAACTGGCCTTCTAATTTTTTATTCTATGAAATGATTCTGAAATGCACATTGATTTCATATTAAAGAAGGGAAAAGGTAGTGGAAAAATACCATAATAGTTGATATATCTATAGCAGCATAAGTTGAAATTAATATGTGCAATCTTTCATTTGCCTAAGAATAAGCTTATACATGCCCCTATTTTTAATGATATATAAATGACAGATTTCTAAGTTCAGATAGTTCAAAATTATTTCTTAACATCAGACATAGGAATTATTAGGGAAAATGCAAGGAAAATATAGAAATCTTAAGCACTACACAATTAAAGAGGCATTAAGTGACTATTATACCCAGCAGGTTGAAGAACCATGGTAAGTATAAACAACTCTCAGAGAACAAAGAAAAGGGAAAATGACTGACAATCAGGGGAAGGAACATACAATAATCTAAAGGCTGAGAGAGGTGGTGATTACTACTTTAAAATTTCAGTCTTAGGGCTGGGGATGTAGCTTAGTGGCAGAGTTCTTGCCTCGCATGTGCAATCCCCAGCAACACAAAAAGACAACAAAACCCCAACAACCCCTTCAGATTTAGTGCATCTAGTCACTTTTCTGTTATTCAAAGCTACTTTTATGTTTTTTAGACAGAACCAGCTTTGACATTGGCTTAGGTTAACCAATTTATTATTTAAGAAGTATAACTAATATATTTTTATTATAAGCCAGCTACTTATGATTATAGTAATCACAGCTAATATTTCGAGTGCTCATTAACACTTTTCATAGACTCAGTCCTATAACTTTTCCAAACTTATGAGACAAACTATTATTATCCCCATTTTAAAGATGAAGAATCTGAGGTTACAGAAGTCAAATAACACAGCTGTTACATTAGATACTGTAGTCCCCTAAGATCAGAAATCAGGACTACAACATCGAATTCAATTGTTAAAACAAGAATACACCAAAGTTTAGTTTAGTCCCATAGAATACCAATAGTCAAGAGAACTCTCTCTCTCTCTGCAACTGAACTCCGTTAGAAGCTCCTGTCTGGACTGGGCAGTCAACATCTAGAGGGGCTCTGATGCAGGGGAGAGGGCATGTGCACCCTTGGGGTCATGTAAAAGAGGAGCCATCCCTGAAGTATAATCAGATTGACCTTATGACAGGTGCTTAATAGATTTCCTCAGTTGGGAATTTAAGGTAAAGCCTCTGCACAAAATAACACATATAAAATAGAGCTGCCTCTATTTTTTTTTTCTTTCTTTTGGTGGGCAGACCCCAAATCTCATCTGCACTGTTTACTGAATGTAACCTAACTGACACACCTTCGTGTATAAGCATATTTACTTCTTTTATTAGTTTCTGCTGACAAAGAAATAAAAGCAAGGTACACACCTATTCTGTATTTTACCTAATGGCATTTCTCTTAAATTTCAGTTTTTGGGACACCTGGCATCTAAAAGCTGAGGGGATAGTGGAAGAAGTATGTGGGTTTATCTCAGTTCTAAATTGCCATGATTCCAAGGACAGATAATGGGCAACCATTTCCCTGGCTTTATATATTTTCCTAAACATAAAAGCAAATTGGTCTGCCAAATCAAAATCAGCTTATTCTAAATTGGGTACCCAAAAGCTGCATAAAATGAGTTAAATTTCATTATAAATATTCAGAGTTTTAAGACACATTAAAAAATGCAGCAGAGATTCACGATCATAAGTTGTCGAACTACTGACAAATCCTAAAGGTACAAACCTGGTAGGCAGATACAGGAGATGCAATATAGGGTGTAAGAGAAGTTTGAGTGATCATTCGGTTTGTAGCAATACTGTATGGTGAAGGATAAAATCTAGAACAAACACAAAAGCCTGTATTAAGTAATCCGTTAAGTGGAATAATTCATGGAAAAATGATATTCTCCACCTTTAATTTCCCTCAAGCCATTACACATTTATCGTAATAACATACCCGTTCTGTATAGCAGCTGTGGTCGGGTCGTAAGTGAGTGTCATTCCAGCCTACAGGAAAGAGAAGGACACAAACGTTCAGCTGGAAAGGCATGATCTGATAATGCTATTTCTTAGACATTGCAACATAAGACAGTAACAGCAGCATTTGATAAAACTGTTTTTTTTTTGTTGTTATAGCCAAAAATAATTATAAGCTCAGTAAGAGAATTAAGCTCTAGACCTGTGCTTGTCCCATATGGTAGCCATTAGCCACATGCAGCTATATAAAATTAAATAGAAAAATTCAATCTCTCTAGCAAAACAGCCACATTTCAAGTGTACACATGGCCACAAGTGGCTAGTGATTATCACTGGAGGGTCCAGATTCTAGAACATTTATTTTCTCCAGACATTCTGGGACCTGTATGCTATTTTTAAAAATTATGTTAACAATTCATTGAAAATAAATATAGAGAAGTGGAGGCCCAATAATTTATTAAGAAATTGAAGATTAAAGAAAAACTATTCAAAAGAACAAGATTAAATAAACATACAACCCCCCAAAAAAACCCTCAATGACAAATACATTTATTTTAATGTTATTTAGAATACTTTTTGAATATAATAAATGTAAACCCTTCTAAACGGTTATACCTAAACCATGGCATAAAAGACCTTCAAAACACTCATGCAGTTCCATAGCAATTTAGAGCCTCCTACTTAGGCAGCTAGCTGGGGAACACAGCTGTTTGCACCATCTAGGTGGAGAACTGTCACTTGGTGAGCACCCCCACCCACCCACACACCCACACACACACACACACATGGGGAATGGTTTCAGTCTGAGCATTACTTGAATGAAAACGTGCTGGCAGAAAGGTGTGACCCAGACAGCTGAAGGGAGATGCCTGTGTGACCTTTTGGAGCTGCCCACGATGGCACACCCACACTGAARTTAAGAAAGGACTTACAAGTCTCACCTCTCCTTCTCGGTGCCATGGTCTTCCATTAGGGATGTATTTGTTTGGGTTCTGTCTCTTCTTCTGTCCTCCATCCGCAAATTTGCACAATAAAGGTTCTGTAGGAGCTGAGTGATCAGGGAAAAATATTACAAAACCACAACCAGGTGCACGCACAGGTGACAAGCATAACAGGATTTCTTTTCTAGTGGGAGCGGCGCGAGAGCTACGAGGGAACGAATAGAACACTGCAAGGCAGAAGCTTCTTCAGACCCTTAGAAAATCAGCCACTGGTGGGTGAAAGATCTTAGTACAGAATAATGCACTGGTTATTATATCCAAACCAGGGCATCATGAAAACATCTGAAGGGCCATTTTGTTGAAGAAACAAAGGAATCTTCCCATTCACTTTGGTGCTTTTTTTTTTTTTTAAATGGGTACTTCTTTGCATTCTGGCTTCTCTACAATTCTGCCTTTAGACAGTCACCCAAATCATCTTCAAATGAAAATAGGATTGTGTCACCCTGCACTCCTCCAGCTGCAAATGCCTCTGTAGCTTCCCATTAACATTCCTCAGAGGGACCTCCACTCCTCCTGGTGGAAAATAAGTCCCCCTTTGTAGTATATACCCACTATTTGTATTTGCAGCATTTCTAACAGTCTGTGTTCCCTGGTGCCTGCTTTTCCTTTCCATGGGCTCCATCATCACTGCATCTCCAGTGCCTGAGCAAAGGGCACTTGGTAGGTGCTTCTTACCTAGTGGCTGAATCAATGAATGGATACACACAGACCTCATTTGTCATTTGTTCCTGGGACACAGGGGTGAAGGCTGTCATCGAGAGAAAGTTTCCAACACCTGCCCGTCCCATTTAAAGACTTTTCTGTACCTGAACCATCCCACTTGGAGAGGTTTTTTTTTTTAACCAAGTGTCCACCTCACAAAAATGAGACAAAGGGAAATCCAAGCAACGAATGTAGAAAAGATGCAGAGATTCTTTGAAAGGAGACACATTCATTAGAACTAAGAGACATAATAACAAACCACAGGCAGCACAATAGGCCACCCCTGACATTCCTTTTTCAATTTGCTTTTCTGAGATGGAAGCAGCAGCGCATTCCTGGAAGTTGTGCATTTTTCTGCCTGCGTCTAGTTAATGTAATAAAGGCACTCACACCTTYCCGTCTGGTTCCCACATTCCATCCTTTGTCTACTGTAGAACCATGATTACTACTTTCAAGTTCTGTTTCYAACTTAAATAACCATGAAGAGAAAAATATTACTTGTGTAAAATTTACTCCTTTCTCCTTTGCCGCTTATTATCCTAATTCATCTCTTATTTTATATCACTATTATCCACCCGCTAATGACAGGGTAGAGGCAACAGTGTCTCTCAACATTTCTCTACCAAAACACAAAACACCGAACTGAATGTGATTCCGTCTCGGTGAGCTGCCTAGGCTGTTGGTTGGCATGCTTTTCCCTTCCTGGGTTGAACCACTCCTGAAGGATGGGTTGGAATGGGAGTCATTTCTGAATGGCAACTGTACTCTGGGTATGCTTCATTTTGGATATGATTTCCTAAATAGTTCACATGTTGGAAGCTTAGTCCCTAGTGTGGCAATGTTTAGGTGAAGCGTACAGGAAGGTCCTTAGGTCAAACCTAAGAAGGAGTGGAGGTAGTTCTTGCAGGATCCTGTGTTCTTACAAAGAGCAAGCCCAACCCCTGAACTGCTCTCTGGCTTGGTCTTGTAATAATGCTCACGTAGTGATACCAYCTATCATGTGGCTCTCACAAGAGGCAAGCTGATACTGGCACTATACCCTTTGAATCCCCAGAACTATAAGCTAAATAAGCCTCTTTATTTAAGTCATCCAGCCTCACACATTTTGTTATAGTAATGAAAAAATGGACTAATACAGGTAGTAGTTGTTCAGAGTAAACATGTTAGGTGTCTGGTGAGAATTTTAGTGTTCCTTTGTTTACCTTCTTGTCTCCAATACCTCCACCCGAGCTTTTGGAACTTCCATAGAAGGCAAACTGGGTATGATAGAAGATGGACTGCAGCCAAATCCCAGAATACAGATGAACCATACTACTTGTCTTTTCAAAAAAATTGTGTTTTTAGAAATTCTACCTTCACCAATTACAGACGGTGAACAGATACAATGAAGCAAGAAAGTTTTGTAATCGCTGATATTAATTCTTCTACAGGGTCATTAAGGGACAGGTAGAAACTAGGGCTGAGAATATAACATCGAAGTAGGAGGGAATAAAGGACAAAATCTTCTGCAAATAAGGACTTTTTATACCTGGAATCTCTCAAAGTTACTCACCTTTGTGGGCAAATGCTACTTAAAATTCTAGCACTGAAACTCTCCTCAGGCTCCTGAGTCAATGTGAAAGTGTGTTAAGTGCAGGCCTGAAAGTGCAGGCTGTGTGCGTGTGTGTGTGTGTGTGTGTGTGTGTGTATGGTGGGAGTGGTGGGGGGTGGTGGTGGCCTCACTTGACAATGACGGACAGAACAAGAACTCAGATGAAGAAAAGCAAGATCTCATTCTCTGCACATCTCAAAAGGGCCTCATAGTAGAATGTTTTCTCCAATAATATTTAAGGTTATAAGGTTTTGCTTCCACATACTCCTGTAGGGCAAAAGAGTATAATAAACTCTGTGGAGCTGGCACTTTGTGGGTCTTCACCGTGACAGACACTTTTATCTAGAGGGTTTATAAAAACTAGCTCCTAGACTGAAATTTAACTAATTTTTAAAAAGCGCTTCCTGTGCTCAGTGATTGATACAAACTGTTTCCCTTGATTAGTATAATTCTTTCCAGGGAAAGAAGGTGACCAGGTTGCTCATTCTGGAAGCTTCCCTTGGGCTGTCTCGGTGGGCAGGTATGAATGAAGGCAGTTTGGTAGCAAGACCCTGGTGCATGTTGAAGCTCACTTGTTAAATCAATGGCCAATGTCCCTATTTGGATGTAATGTGCTTCTAATGTGTTTTCATCTAGATTCTGTCCTGTCAGAGAAAAGCAGATCTCAGGTAAGAATGAAGTCTGCTAAAATATGTAGCAAAGGCATGTTTGCAAATACATGTGGCATTTAAAATGAAACACACACACACACACAAACACATGGAACAAGATGTAGTTGAATCTTTCAAAAATGAATTATATTTACCACCCAATTTTTGTACTGCCATTAAGATATGTTATTTTCCTCTAAAAGCAAAAAAGTAAGTAGTGGAAACAGTGTGTATGGCAGGTATCTTTTAGGCCAAACAAATTTCTTGTTTTTAAAGAATGTAACCAGTGGAAATGACCCAGTTTTTACATGTTGCTGGCTCCTTGTTTCAGTGAACTAGGGGTGCCCGAGTCTTGCTTGTGAAGCAATATAAAATTCTAACAGCTTTTTTCTTTTATCAAAATTCTCTCTGGTCTCCTTATCAGTTGAAGTTTTAATGCCCTACTATGTGTCAGGGACACAAGAGCCAGTGGTACAGTGGCAGATCTGAGTTCTCGCCTCCAGGGGGCATRCAGTTTAATGGGGAAGAGAATATTTCCAATCTTATGAAAACCCATTTAGTCATTTACAGGACACAGTACTGTTTTTAGAGAGATTTGTTTTAAATAGAAATGTTATGGGGAAGCAAAGTACTGATGTAGGGACAGCAGCCRTCTATCTTTCACAATTGCTGCTCCATTGACTTGGAGAGTGTGACGAGAAAGAATGCATGCCTGGAATTTAATGTTTCTCTGTGTGCTCTGGAAAAGCAAACTAGGTGAAGACTTACAGGTGTTGTAGGTGGCAAATGGGCTTAATTTATTTTATCTGACACCATGATGCTAAGCAAGGGTAAGAGGATTTCAGTTAGATTTTTGCACAGAAAAACAAAACACCCAGATCTGTGCCATGAAGCCACTTATTTTTCAGTGTGTGCAAGCTTGTTAAAAATTGAGAGATCTTTGGTTAATCAGTCTCTCCTGTGATTCCTTCAAAATGAGGGGATGTCTTAAGTTTGCTTCTGGGAGCCTAATGTGCAGGCTACAGGCTGAAGGGAGATGGTGTGGGATGTTGGCATATTCTACAGAGGGATCCTCCMGCTAGCCTCTTTGGTTGTGTTTTACAAGGCAGATACTGAGAACAGGAAGTGCCGTAAATACTAGTAATAGGACTATGAGCGAGGTTTGGGTATATTAATTTCGCAAAATTAGTGTGTGACAATCTCTCTCTCTCTTTTTGGTAGTGGTGGTGCAGGGGATTGAACCCAAGGCCTTGTGCATGTGAGGCAAGCACTCTACCAACTGAGCTATATACCCAGCACCTGTGATAATCTCTTACATGGTCATTTTTCTATATTAGTAACTCTTTATTGTTCAAAACAATAACTGCAAAGAGTTCTAACATGATTTGTGATTTGAGACACATTCCTGAAATTAAAGTGATATAGAAAGTATATAAACTACCCCAAATTGATTATTTTGCTAAATATGCACAGTGTTCTAGGCTGAATTTCCCCTTAATAAGGGTAAATCTCAGATATCTYATGAGGTCTCTCACATCAGGTTCTTTTGCTCATCAACCGACAGAGAAGTTATTTTCTTCCTCATCAGAACCAACAGGAACATGCATCCCCAAAGCCTGACAACCATGGTGTGACTGTGACCTTGCACACTTGTGAGAAGCCCAAGGCAACACCTCAGATGCAAACACTGATCATAGGTAGTATCCGCTGAAGAGCCATCTAAGATCATGGCATTACTGGACTCTTCAATATGCCCTCAACCAAACTTGAGAGAGGGATGATATTTTACAAATGCCTGATTGCACATCTCTGCAGTTTCCTTAACCTGTCTTTTGAGCTCAGACTCTACAGTGATTTGGGCTCAGATGTTGAAATGAACATTTCCTCAGCCTTTCCTAAGTGAGGTCTTTGTGCATTTCATCATCAGACATGACAGTACTAATAGATGGAATGACCTCTCCTTCCAAAGTATCATTTTTTCTAGTTATGCAGTATTTTATCTCAATTAACATTCTGCAAAATGTAAACTGCCCTTGATAGAAGTTTCTCGCATCAATTTTGGAAAACCAGATCACTCAGCAACCATCATTAGCTTTCTTTGTGA